TCTCCAAAAAAAGTTTGGATAGGGCCACGTAATCACTGTGCATCATATTTTAAAAACAGTTCATCAACCCCATCTCCTACCTGGGACTGATGTACCTGTATGTACTTTTCAGCACTGATGGTGCCTTTCCAGCTGTGCAAGCTGCAAAATCCATGGACACTAATGCACCCCCATAACCAACAGAGATCCAGCCTTTGGAACTGAGCACTAATGACAAACTGGATGCTCCCTCTCTTCTCCTCATTGCAATTTTAATCCATCTGACCACACAACAGTTTTCCACTTTGCCTCAGTGCATTTTAAATTAGCTTTGGCTCAGAGAAGACAAAATGTTCTCTGGATTATATTATATTTAATTGTAGGCAGGGACATTACTGGATATTCTTGTGTAATTGCTACTGAAGAATATTTATTTTATTATTTTACATTTACAATTTTTTTTCCTGGGGACCCTGTGACACCCCATTGAAGAGCCGTAGGCTGTGGATCTCTTAAGATCTCACTGTTGGGTTTGTAAGGCCATGTTACTCCTAAATTTCTATCTTGTTCAAAGAGAAGTTCTAAGCTAAAAGGAGAACGCTAAGAGAATCGATAAAGAATCGAATTGTTAAACAGAATCGAAAATGGAATCGGAATCGTTAAAATCTTATCAATACCCATCCGTAGATGCCTCTCTAGAATAAATATGACATTACATTTTGTCTGTGTCTGTTGAAGTATAAGCTAAGATTTTTGAAAGTAAATAAAATGAACAACCGGTCATTGGATCTCCTTCCAATAAATAGATAAATAAAAATTATAATCTTCTTCTGCAGACATGCAGAAAATGCACATCTGAAACAGCTCTATATTTAAGTTTCTGGGTGATCTATCCCTTTAACTAATTACCTGTAATGTTAGCCGAAAGCCAGCTGCAGGCTTTTTCTGTTGCAAGACGTTTGGTGATGTTTTCCGAAGTGGCGAGTACCTGCGTAGAAATTCGAGTGTAAATATCCAATTCCAAACTCATCCACAAAGGTTTCTCAGAAAGTTCTTTTATTAGCTAAAACTCTATATTGCTGTAGTTTGTTGTATTTATGTTCTGCTTCCTTTTTTTTTCTTAAACCAAATATGTATTCTTGGACTTACAGTAGGCGAAGTCTCATGAGGGAGCAATATTCGTATGGCTTCAGGGCTCTTCTCACAGCAAAATCTGCAAGCAAGAGGGTGTTTTCTTAACTGAAAGTGGCACCTTGTAATAATTCCCAATCAAATCTATTCACGTAACAAGAAAACGGCTGGGCGCTTGTAAAATAAGCTGTCGTACCTGGTGGCTCTTGCCAAAGCCTCCAATCCCGCATCACACAATTGAGCACAAATGGAGTCATTCAGTTTTGATGGATTTGAGTTTGGCGACCCCAGTCCGTCTCTCAGCATCTTTTCTCCTCGTCCCACCAACTCATTTACTAAGGTAGCCCTGCGGGAAGCCCAAAACGAATAACACAACTGTACAAAAATTACATTTAAAATAAAATAACAACGATGCTCTTAGTAAGTCTTGAGCAGATATCTATATAACATTTAAACACAGAGTGGTAAATTTACAGCAGTTGCCACTGAAGTGCTGTAAAACAAGCTGTTGGACAGTCTCTAGCCTCCTAGGTAAGCAACCAACCAAAGCTGCAGGCTGATTACAAACTATTCTCAGAGTCACTTTCAATTGGAAAAGGATAATCTAATGGAAGGCAGGTTAAATAAAAACAAAGGGATGTGAAAGCTGCAGTTAATTTGCAATCTAGTGGCTTAAAAACCAGCTTACTCTGAAAGCTCCACAATACTCACTTCATATGCTTGACAGCATTGGATCCAACCCTCTCAGCTACAAATTCCACAGTGCGACGTAACGATGGAGGCTGGTTGTGAAAGAAGGCTTGCTCGAGGTCCACCTGTCATATTCAAGCAACAGATTTAAATACCCCACACACAGGAATTATTGCATTTAAAGTCCTGTTTGCTGTGCCGCTTGGTTATTCACCTGCAGTTTCTGCTGTGACCTGTGAGCTGCTGGCGTGTCCTTGAGCTCAGCAGACGTGGGAGTAATCTTGCGGATAATTCCTCCGCTCTTGGCTGTGCTTCCGGACACAAAGGCAGCCAAAAGCTTACGAAATTCACCTGAATGAATAAAAACAAGATGGATTTATCTAAAGAAAGCGCGTGTTGCTGTCCCTTGGCTCATCTGTGGTGAACGTGTTGAGCAAACGTGAACAAAGCTGTGCAGTTTCTGATTAAAGGACGGTTTATTTTTCAAACTTCTTAATGAAACTCGAGTCCACCAATGACTAAACAAAAGGCCAAACAACCTATAAGAACTGTGCCATTCTTGCACTCGCTACTCTGCATCCAATCAAAGGGCAAAAAAATCCTGCAAAGATTGAGTCCTGTAGATGCAAGACTTTAAATTTAATGTGTCTATGGTTAAGAATAATCACACCTGTACAACAAAAAAAAAAAAAAGAAATTACCATCCTCAAGACAGAGCTTCACTTTAACCAAAAGAAAAGGACACGCTAGTCCAACAACCCAGCTCCCCATATGCAAATTAAAAGACACAAAAATAACGTGTGGACCAGCCTCGAACCTACAGATGAAATGACAAAGCAGTTTTGTTATGGAAAAAGCTCATAACCAGCCCAAGAGAAACTCAATAAAAAGCCAAGAAAGTGACTGATAACATACAAAGTAATTCACTGTAATAATTTTTACTGTAATTGTAACAGCCAGCGACAGACACTCTTTCTTGCAATTCAAATACTTTGTGAGACAATCCATTTTATTAGTATTATTTTTTTAATGCTACTACCAGTAAAAAACACACACTGAACAGAAAAAAAAAAAGAAAAAAAAAAGATCAAAACCTCACAGATAAACATACACGTGTAGATGAATGTGCGAATCAGCTGGCTGGTTGTACCAAACTTGTGACTCCTTGTTCCCATGAATCTCAGTAATAAAGGGGAAGGTAAAGACTCCAATGTTAATATGGCTATTAAACCATCTAAATTAAGGCATGCAGAAATAAACAGCCACTATAAATTAAGATAAGAATACAGTGCCCTTAAACCCAATTTAAACATAAGATTTACATTCAGCATTCCACATTTCTACTCACCAAGAAATGGACAACAAGTATAAAGAAGCTGCTGATCCACCAGAGGAATACAGTCCTAAAAAAAAAAATTAACAAGCATATAAAAACAAGTCGTTTTATGGACAAACACCTATTAAAGTTTGTCACTTACAAGCCCTGCCACATTTATGTCGCTTTCTTCCACCTTGGCAACCTCAGTAAACTCACTAGTGAAGAAAATATCCTCTGGAATCACTGGAATCTACACAAGTTAAACACAAGTTCAACTACATGTTAGCATTACGTATAAATAAATATTATTCTCAGGCATCATAAAAGTGTTAAATAGATCTTTGAGTCATGATTGGTGAGTCTGCTGCTCACTGTATGAACCATTACATAAAAAACAAATCTTGCCTACACATTGTAACTCACCTGAAAGAGCCAGCCTAATACTGACACCATCAGTAGCTTATTTAGGTAACACATTTCTTCACATCGATCAAGAACCAGTTTCCTGCAAGCAAACAGGAGACTTTTTATTTTACTATATACACATACCATTTACCTGTACTGTCATAACTAGTTTACATGCATGCATATGAAGACAAACCTATATAGGAGAAGCAGTGTGCCCAATGTGGTCCTGTAGCAGAGCAGCCGAGGGCCGATAAAGTCTAGCATGGAGAGGAACTCCACCAGCCAGGGAACAGTGAGGATGGTGTGCCTTCTCCTTATACTGTTTCTCAACACAGCACACACATCTAGCACTGGAACACTCTGTGGGACCAAGAGGGAAAGAAAAAAAAAAAAAAGTAGCATGGCATCAAATATACATTTATATCTGTACTGCAGATGTACCGGTACAGGAAGAAAATAAAAGGAACTGAAACTACTTCTGACTTTTACATACACCATTTAAAAACAGGCCTGAACATTTGGTGCAATAAGTATTTGTTTCGTCACCTTGCTGCGCAGGGCTATAGCAGTATCCTGTATTTCTCTGGACGGCTTCTCGGATGTTTGGTAAGGCAGAAAGGAAATGAATCCCAGAAACTTTGCTAGAAGACGAGCTAGGAGCAACACAGAGGAGAACCGCTGCTTCTCGTCCTAAAAAGGATGAAATAATAAACAGCATAAGAGCTCATCTTCTTAGAGTGGACAGGTTTAAGAAGATGAGCTCTCCAGGTACCCAGGTTAAAATACATTGCTTCAAATAAAAAAGGAAAATACAGCTGTAAAGCATTTTAACAAAACACCCACAAGAGCTGCAGATGCAGATAACAAAATACCTGCTGCTCCATGTCTCCATCTTCCTCCTCCTCCTCTTTGTCCCGCTCACAGATGGAAGCAGGAGGGCTCAGGATGGACACCTCGTCCAGCTGGAGTAGCTGCTGGCACAAGCTATCCTGCAGGTGCTGGTTCAGCTGGCAGCTAGTGCACAATATACAAAACAGATTATAACAACATAGTCCATTAAAAAAAATTTAAGAAAAAAGTTTAACTAGTAAGAACACAGGAAATTTATATGAAATTTAATATTTATTATGCTGTTATCTTTTTACTTAAATGTTGTTGTCTCACCAGCTAGCAGCCTGCAGGAAGTCCCTGAAGAACTCTTGGTAACCAGGAAAAGATGGAGGTGAGCACGGGCCAACAACTCCGTGAGGCTGAATGAGACGCTCTTCAAGACGCTTCAGGCGCCCCAGACCCTCAGCTCCCAACATGCCTAACAAGTCAGCATCAGGAGCATCTCCAGAAGTGCTGTTCACTCGGGGACCTTTACACATCTAAAGGAGAAAAAAAAAGGAAAGAAAAAAAAAAAAAAAAAGGTCAATTTGAGACCTTATTGGGCCAAGTAAGAAGAATGTCACGTGGTGGCAACTTCTGCAATGAGATAGATAGCTTTTGTTAAAATGTATGATTTACCTGAATAAGCTGCTTCAGGAACAGACGCGCAAAATGAGAATGATTTCCTGCAGAAGTCATCTGACTCATCATTCCTCTGAAGTAAAGACAGAAAAAGATCCTTTATTACATTGAAATCCTTAATTTCACCCAATTCCTGACCATGAGGGGGAGAAATAAATAAATAAATAAAACACTGCTGTAACTAACTGGACTTACCTGATCCTATTTCCAAGTGCAGTGTCAAAATTCCACCCGGGTTCCTTGTGAAAGTCCTCCCACTCTCTCAGCACCTCATAAAAAATATCTCTGTGAGAAGAACAAAAGAATCAGGTGATTAAGATAATTGATGAATGGAAAAAATATACTTGATCATTAATAAAATTAATTCAGTGGTTTTATTCAACTTATTTCAACAGTTGAATCCTTAATTCACCAAACAATCAAGAAAAGTTTCTCATCTCACAATTAAATCTACAAATTATCCAACTATAATATTTCACACTGTGTCGATCGACAAACAACATTGCGTTTGCAATTTAAAGCAGTTCACCTCTATAAAATGGACAAAAGCAGAAATGTACCTCTGTTTTTTGAAGATGTGGAAAGCCTTGTCACTGCTAAAGTTGGACCGGTTGTCAGTATCAGGTTGGAAAGGGACCGAGTGGATGAAAGTGGACACTGAAGGAGAGAGCTGAAATACATTCATTTTATTTTTTTTAAGTGAAGATGGGTCAAAATAAGAATCTGGATTAACAACATAGGTTGGTAGTAATGTTAATAACATAGCATACAGCACTGGGAAAGATTTAAAAACACAATAAATGTTTGCATTTACTTCATCAGCTGTACAATACAACTCTGTTACCTTGGCCGTGCTTTTATCTTGGGCCTGAGTGAGTAAGTCCCTGAGATGTGGAGAGAAAGATGCCACCCGTTCATTCTCTGCCAGCAGTCGCAATGTGCACTTGTCCAAATGAGCTACCAACCTGATAAATTACAAGAAGACATGGTTACGAGTCAAAAAGTTAAGAATGTTGAGGAGTCGGTTAAGTGGAGAAAACAAAAGACACTCACTGAAACTGATTCTCCAGGACCTTCACTGCAAAATACACACAATTGTGTACTGGTCTTAAATAACATCTTTCGAGAATATCTGAAAATTTGAAACAGATCGGGACCTTCAACACACACACACACACGCAAATATGCAATCCTAGTATTTGTAATATTCCGTGACTGCACACCTGAGTGTGAATGAGCTGCACACAAACTTTCCTGTTCATCGTCATGAGTGTGAGGGGACCGAGACGTTAGTAACTGCATCACAAAGAAGAGCTCCAGGAAAATGTTTGGTACGAGGTTTTCTGAAAACACATAAAAAAATTTTTTAACTAATTTAAATGTGTTTAGTCTTTTTTAAATTTCTTTCATTATTAATTACTCTTTAATTACTTAACAGAAACCTGTTGACAGGCATTTACTAATAGCTGTTCTTCATCTAGCAAAATTGTTTGTACAAGTTCATTTTATCCTCATGTAATTGTTTTTAGATAATGATCACCACCTTGTGGTCATTTACCAGAGATGCAGGTACTATACAGCTCAACCAAAAGATCCAGTTCCAAGGAGAAAGTGACTTTGGATGGTTCAGGACAAGTTGTCTGTTGTTCTGGTGTAACTTTAGATCCTGTTTTAAGCACTGTCTTGGTAGGGGTGCATGGTTCCAAAGAAGACGGCTGAGGAGAGCCGACCTGCTGGGCACGCTTTGTCCTAAAAACAAGAAATTCCTGATTATAAAACTACAAAGATAAACTGAGATGTGGAAAAAAAGATACTTCAGCTGGTGCAAAAACAGCTGAGACTGTTATACATATAAGAACCTGAAGGGGAATTTTACTCTAATCCAGAGTGTACAGACGATTACCAACAAAATATGGATTACACTTCCATCATTCCCTGTAAAACACAGCAAAATATTACCCATCTGTAAGTAATATGGCACCCACTAGCAGACATGGATTACTGGCCAATCCAAAAACTAAACACATTTTCCCCACAATGCACTCAAATCTGTCTGACCAAATCGAGGAAAAGTGCACTTACTTTTCCTTTTTAAGCAATTCCCTTTCTTCCTGCAGACTCAGAGAACTGCCCCCTGTCATCGACCCCTCGAGTGGCACTACTCCTGACAGGGGGCTGGATGGTTTACTGAACGGGGTGGAAGTGAAGCAGGTCTTTGGTTTAGAGCGTGGCCGCTCTGCACTTACTGGTGTCGGGTTTATTCTTCTAGTTGGCTTAGATGCCCTGAGGAATAACAGAAGTGGTCAGATTGTTTGAAAATTACATGTTCAAATCTATATTTACGACTCTACTTCTGTTAGACTTGTGCAGACTCACGCAGGAGAAATGGGTGAGGAGCCAACAGGAGGGAACTCCTCCAAGTTGTTGAAATTGAGCTGACCTACAGATGGAGGTGAAACCTGCTCAATTATCCTACCATACCCTTCTCCTCCTCTTACTGATCTCCTCCCCCCAGTCTCATCAATATAATGCCCTCCACGTCCTCGCCCCCCCAATGACATGTTGCCACCACTCTTCTTGCGGCTTTTCTGGGACTGGAAGCTAGGGCTGTGCTGAAAGTCAGGAGGAGAAACCATGTAGTCCCCAAGCATGATCCTTTGCCCACCACGCCGCTCAGATCCTGAAGGCCTGGAAGCAGGGCTCCATGTTGTAGAAGAGGAGGGGCTGCTGAAGGCAGTGACCCCGCTCAGACAGTGAGATCCTTCAGGTCCAGGTGACACAAATGAAGGAGAAAACAGCTGGACGCGGCTCGCAGCCCGAGTACCATTTCCACCACTGGCAGACTTGCAGCCCCTCTTTTCCGAGAAAACTTGGGTCTGTGCAGCAGGCCTAGGGCGGCTGGGAGTCTTAGCTGGGGTGGCGGGGCCATGGGTGAGTGCTTGACTGCTCTGCTCTCTCAGAAAATTTAAAAGAAAAGGGACGAACTCCTCTTTGTGAACTGTCAGCCCGAGCTCACTAATCGACAGCTTGTCCTCGTCCTGTTGAAGAAAGAGACTTTAAGTGTTGGAAAATTGGATCGAGACAAGCGCACCAACCATCTATCAACCATGAAATAACTCAGATCATCAGCGCGATTAAATCCTAGATGCATCCCAAGATAGTAGATATCCACGCAATTAAATCTTCTGGATAGATACAGTTAAATCTCCTAAGAAAATTATTATCTAACCTAGCTAACAACGTGCTGGCTAATTTATGGCAAAACCCCACATCTGTCTTAAGAGAATGAAAATAATAGTAAAATTATTAAGTAACTGTGGTAAATTATGACAGGTTTTACTGAAAACATTTCTTCTGAAAAAAGGGAAGCTGACAGCTACCATCTTGTCTGTAGTCGACCTGATCTACAGCTAACGTGGCTCGCTAGCACAGCAGCTAAAAGTTTTGTTTACAATTAGTTACGAGCTGTGTCATCACACAGAACAAAGTAAGCGGAGATAAAACGCAGATAAATGCTCCTCTCGTGATAGTATTACCCGTTTCAGACCTACCCCTGCACTCTTTAGCCACTCCACCACCTTAATAATATCCACTTTCTGTGATAGAAGCGATTCCAAAAGAGCCGCCATTCTTGCCAAGCGCTGCGCGGCTGAAGAACTGAGAGGAAAGGGGGCGGGGTTAGCCTGTACGCATGCGTGTTGCAAATTACGTGTGCCAACTACGTGTGTTTGTCATCTGAGCCTTCAAGAGTCATTCAAGGGCCGTTAAAAGGGCCTGCTTTCACATGTCATCCACCCACTAATAATAACAACCTAAATACAGTCCTTTGCAAAAAAAAAATAACCTCGAGTCACCACTCATTTTTTAAATATTTCGCTTACAAGGAGGGAGACTTTCTCAAAAACCTTTTAAAACCTTTTAAAGTGGTGTTGCGTAATAGTTTTCTGGGCTTTCTGAAAATCATAGCATGGTGTGCTGTGTTGCCTTAAAATAACCTGAGGAAATTGGAAGTTTTTGAAAAGTATCCTAAAAAGTATCCTAAAGTCATGTCCTATCATGCACTTCCTTTTGGAAAACATCTGATTGATCAACGTCTTCGCTTTTCAGCATGACAATGATCCCGATAACACTGCCTGTGCAGTAAAAACATACAATGAAACACTATCAGTCGCGGACTGGCATCGCCTGGACCTCAGCATTACCGAAAAAAATGTGGGATCATGTTGACAGAAAACAAAAGAAAGGGCAGCCAGCATTCAAAGAAGAGCTTTAAATACTCTTCAAATAGCCTGAATAACTATTCCTTAACACTACTTTACAACTTAAAAAAATTAAAAGAAAACCTCGGGGTGTGTTGAAAATAATGGTGCTCACATGAAGTGTATTTTTGCCTCACATACTGTATTTCTACATATGTTTGCAACTTACAATGAATCGCTACACCTACACTACCAGTCAAAATTCTGGACACACCTTCTCATTTTTCTTTATTTTTACTACTTTCTACATTGTATATACACACTGAAGACATCAAATATATGAAGCAAGATATATGGAATTATGTAGCAAAACAAAAATGCTAAAAACTCTAAATATGTTTTATATTTTAGATTCCTCAAAGTTGCCACCACTTGCTTTGTTGACCACCTTCTCTCAATGAGCTTCATGATATAGCCACCTGAAATGGTTTTCACTTCACAGGTGTGCCTTGACAGGGTTCATTTGTGGAATTTCTTGCCTTCTTAATGGGGTTGGGACCATCAGTTGTATTGTGCAGAAGTCAGGTTGGTACACAGCTGACAGCCCTTATTTGACAACTGGTTCACACCGTGAAGCATGGAGGAGGAGGTGTGATGGTGTGGGGGTGCTTTGCTGATGACACTTTTGGGGATTTATTCAAAACTGAAGGAACACTGGACCAGCATGGCTGCCACAGCATCCTGAAGCGACATGTCATCCCATCCCATCCTATTTGCTTTTAGTTGGACTATTATTTATTTTTCAACAGGACAATGACCCCAAACAAACCTCAAGGTCAAATAGCCCATTTGACCAACAAGGAGAGTGATGGAGTGCTGCACCAGATGGCATGGCCTCCACAGTCACCTGACTTAAACCCAGGCGAGATGGTTTGGGATGAGATGGACCGCAGAATGAAGCCAAAAGGGCCAACAAGTGCTCAGCATCTCTGGGAACATTTCAAGTGACTACCTCATGAAGCTCATCGAGAGAATGCCAAGAGTGTGCAAAGCAGTAATCAAAGCAAAGGGTGGCTGTTTTGAAGAATCATGACGAAACATATAAAAATGTTTTGAGCTATTTCACACTTTTTTGTTTATTACATAATTGCTTGTGTGTTCATTAACAGTTTCGATGGCTTCAGTGAGAATCTACAATGTAAACAGTCGTGAGAATAAAGAAAAAACATTGAGAATGTGTCCAAACCTTTGACTGGTAGTGTATTTTTTATGTTCCTATAGGGGTGTCTATAGCTATTTATTTATTTATTTATTTATTTAATGATTGAGTCTAAATCATATTGTATTAAGATACACACAGCATTGCTGACTTTGAATGCAATCTTCAAAAATTGTGATATATTTTATTTAATTTTGGGACTAACATTTACATTTAGAAAAACAAAACAATGAATAAATCCTTTTTACTTGTTTTTAATTTTAAATGTAACCTTAAAAGCACAAGCAAGTAAAATGTTATCAACTCAGTTACTTTTTATGTTTTGTTGGATGCTTTTTTTTTTTTGTCTTTTTCAAAAAAACAACAGCTTGAATGCCCAGTGGTTTTATTTCAATTAAAAAGAAGCACTTTATAAATTAGCAATTTTAATATGCGTATCCTTGCTCAGTGTCCAACATTTCAGGATTATAAACAGGAATCTGTCACAAAATTCTTTCTGCATGCGGAATGAGTATTTTATTTGTAACCAGTTTATAAAAATAAAATACAAAATAATTTGAAAACAAAAAGAAACAAAACACTGTACAAGGCATTGATATGATACAAATAATAGAATTAACATAAATAATTACAGGTATATACAATGCAAAACTCCCGCTTGTTACATTCTTTCCTTGAGACTGTACAGTTACATTTCAAAACAACGACATACATTACAACACAAAAATATCAACCACTGAAAAAATCCCAACAACTCAAGTGAAAATGACAGATGGGCAAATTAGCAAAAGTCACAATAAATAATTTCTGTCAAGTATTTATAAGCAATTCAATATCATGACATGAGAAGTGTACAAGTGCACACCAAAGCTTTTATTAGTTTCCATCTCACCTTTCAAAATAAAACAAAACAGCTGGCTTTATTCTGTTGGTCTGTGGCTTTGTGTAACCACAAAAAAACCCCAACAAGCTACTATAAATATGACACTTTCTAATAGCGAGCCACTTTTAAAAGTGACAAAGAAAAATCTCATCTGGAAGGTAACACTAACCTTACGACTACACACCACTTGTGAGATAATAATATTAAAACCCATGATAAGAAATCTGATTATCTTTTAAAATCAGCAGCACACTGTTTAGTGTCTGTCCTTCCCTTTCATTGAAGCCCGTTAGGATATATGTCATATTTGTACGATAATGATATTATTTAAATACTACTTTCAATATTTTACAGGTATATATTAAAAGTCTGCACAACAGCGTTCTGAACTTCGAAGCCTTGAAAGAGGGGGAATTCAAAGACTGCTCGCTGGCGACGTATAAATTGCACAGCCATTTGAAAGCATACAGCTATCACACTGCAAACACACCTTGAATACGGCACCCTGAAATTCTCCAATTTCAACCAGTCGATCAGTAAATGGTCCACACATTCTCACAGTGGAGCGCTCCGGCTCTGACACAGAAGTCTTTCAGCACTGATTTCAGTGGCGAGGGTTTGCATGGTAGCACATGCCATTTATAGACCGAGAGATAAGAGAGAGAGAGAGAGAGAAAGGCTTGGCTTGGCCTAATACTGGAATGATCTCCAACACAGACAAGGCTCAGTCATCCCTCGCTATGCACAGAGGGGCAGAGAAGAGACATTAAGGCGGCTGACTGACTGAACGATGTCTGCCTTCAGGATGAGTCATCATAGCTGCTCTGTGAGGCTAGCGTAGGTACCTGCGAAATCTACATGAGTCAGACGAAACAGCATTGTTTAATATCGACAGAAATAAGACGCTCTCATCTCAACTCAAACTGCAAAGTATATCAAAATATTTGGCGATGTGGTTTGTGACTGTGACTACCATCAGGCTTCAGCTCGTGAGTACAATGCAAGACTGTAAAATGCAGGAAAGTCTGTTCTCCTTTTATTTTTGCATGTCACTACAATTATATGCAATGATAGAATCATCCCAGGTTGGTGCAGAAAACTAACATCAGGTAAGAAAGCAAGTTTTTAATATGAGCCAGAGAAGATTTAGAGATTCACCTAACAGGAAATGGCCAATGTGGTAAATGCTATATAATGATGAGTGTTATGCGGCTTTTTACTCAGTAGTCGATTTGGGGGGTTTTCTCTGTTGAGCATGCAAAGAGAAGCACTGGAAGGAAGCTGAAGTTATTTTACAGTATCTTACAAGCAGAGGAGTGGGAATAGGTTGTGGAGGAGAGCTTCAGTGAGGAATCCTGACTAAAAACTGAACACAAACAACACTCTGGCTTCTTTACCTTGTGCACAGAACGTATACTGTATGTTGTTATATAAAAGACATTCTCCGGTGCGGGAGAAACGGGAACGGAAATAAAACATTCTCGCACGTGGAGGCATGGAGCATCGTTTTGGTGTGAGAAATATGTACATATGGCCTCCGTTTTCAATAACATTTGACAAAATTCTTTTTTTTTGAGGTCTGAAATTCACATTTGTTCAGAGTTTTATCTCAAACACTGGCCTGGTATGTAGACAGGACAGCTAATATTTCCTGTTACAAATAATAGCTACTTTGTCCTTAAGTAAACTGCTGCTCAAATTATGTTTGATTAACAAACATTTGTGTTGCTACCTTTTCTACATAAATGAATGAAAAGGGTTGTCTTATAACCGCTGGCACAAGTCTGTTTTTTGGCTCTTGGTTTTTTTTGTTGTTTTTATCTTCCTCCGCTAATTACAAACACACCAAAGTGAATCTTCAAGCTGCCCGAAGTGCCAAGGCACGCGCTACGACGAACATCAGTGCACCTTGAGTCGTTTAAACTTACTACTGCTACTAAAACATCACAAGTCTAACCTCTAATTCCTTCATTCCAGTGTGACATTTCAGATTCCCTCTCAGCAACACAGTAGGCACAAAAAGGTGTGAGTCCTCACATGCTTTACATGACTGATTGTATAAAGGGTCGCTTTGAGCGATCCCCTCATTTTAAAAACGAATGCACGTGACACAAAAACCACACTTTAACGATCGCACGCGAGAGGATAGGAGTCGTAAGCATTGCTAAGCATCAAAATAAATATCTCAATAAATACACAAATTCTGCCTATTATGCATTCACATTTAGCAGAAAGAAAACGTTATACCCTGCCTGATCTGAGTTAGGCCCTCCGGCCAATAATTAAAGTCGCAAATCCCATCAGTATGATTCAAATGCATTAGTGCTGGGGATAAATAAGTTCTAATATATTGCGGTGCAGGACAAATCAAAGTTCAATAATCCGGAGACTTTTATATATGTGCCCACTGGTCC